TAGATATGGCGGTCTTCACCTCGCACTGGCTGAAGCAGGTACTGGCATGGAATAATCTGGGTTTAACAGACGAGAAGGAAAGTTTTTAAAACGACAGGTAACCAAACTCTGAACTCTTTACCAACGCTTCTTTAAATGCAACATGAAAAGTAGCACACGTTTATGGTTGTGTAACAGCACTGCAGTTCCCACGATGAGATGAAATCAAAACAATTTAAAGGAGCTCTCCTTTGACATCTACTCACTTGTACAGAAACAGAATTGCGGATGTGTGGAGGCAGCGACTGAAGCATCTCAAGGTAGCAGCGTAGCAGACCCAGCGTCCACACGCTGGACTGTGCGGGCCCCGCCCCCCTGTCGGCCTCCTCGTAGCTAAAGGGGTCCACAATGTAAACAACGATGGCAGGTGGATACGTGACGGCGTGGGACTCCCCATCTGTGGGCACTCCCACCTTCTCTCGCTCCAAAGTGCTGCAGGAAACACAAGGACTCATTTTACGCTCAGCCAACTTAAATACTAAACTTAATTTTTTTTGCATGAAAGTAAAGTGTTTAGTATTAATACTTTTCTGTTGGATGTATGAGGGCTTTTGTGTTCTGACAATACCTCTCGGGGGGCTCTGTGGGCCCCTGGGCTTGGCTGTTGGAGTTGTCCCCCGAGGCACCGGTATTCTGGGTACCAGCCTGCTGTCCCAGCTGTCCGCTCTGGGGGCCGCCTCCCTGGCCCTGGCCGCCCATGCTCCCAAAGGGGGGGAAGGAGCCGGGCTTGGCAGGTATCGTGCTGCCGGTCTGGCCTGACGATGTCACGAGGTTGTTGGAGGGCGCGGCGCTGTTTGCGGGCGTGCTGTTGCTGGGAACAGTGGAGCCAGCGGCGTTCGCTGAACCCTGCTGGCTGGCTGTACTGGAGGCGGAGTTAGATAGTTGTGTGGATGATGACTGGTTGGATGGGGGCGTGGGGCTGGGCTGCGTGAGGAGGGAGCTGTCTAATGCCTGTGATGCGAGGTACGGAGCTGTATCGAGAAACAACACAGGAAAGAAAAGCGCACATCGTTGGACTTTTATCAATAAGACTGAAAATAAAGATACTCCATTTACTACTTTCAACATCCTCCTACTCTGATCACGCTTCTCTGGAAGCTCTGCTCGCTTTCAAGCAGTCAAGGTTCTCCTTTTTATAACAGCAATATATTAATAACTACACCAAGAGGTGTTAAAAGGTGGGAATTCAGCACCAAAGAGCTGAATGAACCACATTATCCACCAGAACGACCAGCGTAGGAAACGTCAGCGTAACGTACCGAGGTTGTGGCGGCACACTTGTGCATAGAGTTTGAGCTTAGCGAAGGTGTCACTGTTGCTGCTGGCAGCCTTGAGGAACCAATCACTGACTGGCTGATCCACGGGGGTCTTGGCTCCGTTGCCACCAACAAGGACGATGCCATCAGCGTAGCCTTTGGAAATGGGCCGGTGCTGTCCCAGACGACATGACTGGAGGGAAATGGATAATGGCGCCGTGTGAAAAACAGTATGATACATAAATTTAATTTGATTAGTTTGATTTAGCTAAATGTGCTGAGAGGAGTTGTTGTGTGGTGAAAAAGCTAAAGGGGCATCGTAGGCGGACGTTTAATCCTCACCTCATAAACAGCGGTGAGGTCTCTGAAGAAGGTCTTGGCGCCACTGAGCAGAGCCTCGTTGTCAGGACAAACAACCAGATAGCCGATGTCCCGCTGGGAGCCGAAGGGATCCAGCAACAGCTTCTCCCAGTAGGGCAGACCAAATGGAGACAGCACCACAAAGTCGTACTCATAACCCACTAAGAAGGTGGGGATGGGCAGAGGCTCCGGGGACTCGTCTGTGCCTGTGGAAGTGATGGAAACAGGAGCGTGGGTGGAAAGAAGCCGAAAGCAACAAGAAATAAACCAAAGAGTAGAAATAGTTAACTGGTAAGACGTCACATTCAAACTTTCACTGTGAGGTCACCCAACAATGTGACAGCTCCTCCCAGCAGAACCACAGCAGAGGTTCACCCACTACTGATGTGACTTCAGAGCCTCGAGATTCAAACGTCATCCACAACGTTTCTTAACCCTTTAAAGCCGGTCAGAGCAGCACGCTCTGTTTTG